CAGAGCTTGCGCACCGCGACGAGCAAGGGCCAGCTCACATCGAAGCCCACCACATCAACAGCCACCTGACCTGGGAGGAAGCGCAAGGCCGAGGTTTCCCACTACATGCATGGTTTGGAAACGCACAAGTGGATCGTCTTGCAGAGCAAGCCGCCGCAGAGCACCAATTGGACGCGGGCCAGCCTGGTTGCTACCAGTGGGTCAACGCCACCGCCGCCCTTATCCGCAAGCGCATTACCGCCGCCACTATTGACGCCATCGACAGACGCCCGTCAGAAGCACATGAAGTACGCAATGCACGACGAGCTCAGCAGCAAGAGTACCGCAAGCAACTCAGACGAAGACGGGATTATTTCGCAGATGGACCACCGCACCCATTTGGTAAGCGCCCACCTACCACACAACCTGGCCAGGCCCCGACGGGGAAAGGGGTGGGTGTGCACCTGCTGCACACGGCGTGTCGGACGAGACACCAGCTTTGCAGCAATAGGAGATTGGTTCCAACAGTGCACAGGACCACCACTGCGACAAGGACGAGCTATCACCCAGCACGGACGCACGGCTCACGACAGCCACGAGCTGATGTTCATCCGAGCAGAATCCCGCTGGCTATGCCGCCACTGCGGTGCCTTCACCACCGAGTATGTTTCGGAGAAGATGCGCACGGAATGCACACGTCGCACTGGATACCGCAGTTTACACTACAAGCTCCTGAAATGGACCGAGCTCGCCGACAACGACCAGGACAGACACGACGAAACCAGCGCAGCCACCAGCCAGGAGCGACGCGACCCAGCACCTGACAGCGACCAAACCAGCACAACGCCCAGCGACGGCAGCCACGAGCCACCAGAGATGCAGACCAACGAACCTCCACAGACACCACCAAGGACACAAGCCGTTTGCTGCAACGGCGTGGAGGGGGAGGACGAGTACTCCCCGCGTCCACCAGAAGGGGCGGTCAGGGGACGTCAGCGAGGAGATGCATTTGAAGGCCCTCGCCCGCGCTCTTCGACCGCTCCACAGCAGCCTTACCACCACCAGGACAAGCTGATCGAGCAGCCACCACTCCAATGCGACGAGCAGCAAGCCTGTGTGCAACAACCTCAACGACCTACGACAGCTGAAGTGACTGTATCGTGCATTGACGAGGAACGCCGCAGGCAATGGGTCCGCAGGCTCCTCTACGCTGCCAGCCGACCGATCGAAAAACAGCACGACGGCGACCAGCAGCAACACGCCCAGCTGCACCACGCCACCGAGCACCACCGAGACCAGCACGACAAAGAAGACCAGCAGCACCAAGCCGCCCAACACCATCGCGACGCCCACGGCCGCGCTGGGTTGGAGGGGCCTAGTACTGCCACCTTCCTTGGAAGGCATGCCGCGAGGGGTGCTCGGGGAGGCCTCCCCGAGGGTGCCTCGCGAGGTGCTGAGGATCTCGGGGGTGGAGCGCGGACACCGCAGAGGACGCGCTCGGCCGCCTTGCTCCACGCGCCTCCGCAAAACGCGCGTGGAGAAGGGGGCGGCCCTCAGGGGCGCGGCCCCCTAGAGCGGTTGGCCCGCGCGCGGCGCGCGCCGCGCGGCGGGGGGCCGCGTCGGAAGGAAGAGACTGCCTGCGGCAGAGGGGGATCTCGCGGGAATCTCCTCCTCCTAGTTTTCTTCCTCCTCCTCCTCCTCTTCCTTGCGCCCCGCTCGACGAGCCTCGACGTAGCCTTCCACGGCCCCTGGGCAGCCTCACCGCGCGTCCTTTTTCCTTGCGCGGGTTGGTCTGCAGCAGGGCGCAAATGCTTACGAGGGGAGGCGGCCCGAGGCGCCGTCGCCCGAGGGCGCCTCGGGCCGAGGCAAGCAGGCCTCTGGCACCGTCTTAAGACCTCGGCGAGGGCCCTCGGTAAGGGAACGTGGAATGGCATAAGCACAAACATTGGGAGGTCCGCGCGGATTTTTCGGATCCGCGCTGGACCCCCCCGGCGGCGCCTCCGGCGCCGCCCCTGGCGCGCTCCGGGCGCCAGGGAGGGGGGTCCAGCGCCGATCCGGGAAATCCGCGCGGACCTCTAAGTTTTTATGTTTATGTAATTGTTTGTTCCCCTATTTGAGGAGCATCCTGGAGTCTCTGGCCCCCCCAAACAGAGACAAAGACCCACCGGACAAAAGGGCACAAGGAGGGGGCGCCCGAGCGATGGCGAGGAGAGAGATACGGGGAGAGAGAGAGAGAGAGAGAGTGAGAGAGAGAGAGAGAGAGAACGCGGTGGCGAGGAGCATACTAGATTATCCTGCCCCCCAAAACTCGCCGAGCGCGTTCCACGTCTCGCACAGTGCCTACTCGCAAACGTTCCAAAACAAAACACGTGTCTGCTTTGCTGTAACTTATCGCATATCCCCCGCGGAGGATCCAGGCCATGTGCGGATAGCGACTTCGCGAGTAGTGGAATGCGCTCGTCTATAAACAGAAAAGAGACGCACCGAACAAAAAGGCACAGGGAGTGGGCGTTCCAGCGAGAGGCGGAGGAATATATAATATATATATATATATATATATATATATATATATGATATTAAATATTATATACAGAGAGAGAGAGAGAGAGAGAGAGAGAGAGAGAGACAGAGAGAGACAGAGAGAGAGAGAGGCCGGCAGGCGCGGGACAGCGGGCCGAGGCAGACAGTCTTTTTGGCACAGCTCGGCACTTACTTTAGCCATGAGCACTAGGAAGATTTTCGTGCACCAGAAAAGTACCGAAACTCAAGGGTTTTCACGTGTCGGGCCCTGGGAAACACTCGTCCGACACTGTTTCGACACTTTTTCTAACTCTTTCGACGCTCTTCCGGGTGCTCGAAATTATGTTTGGGATGTGGTCCTCAACTACGATGGGAGCAACATAAAGCTCGTCGGGCGTGGGCAGTTTCTTTCCTCGGCTAGGGCCCTCGAGGAGCATCTTGGCTTACAGACGGACCGAGGTCTGAGATCGAGGTCGGCTCGGGGAGGGTACCCTGTAGCGTTCGCCTTGTTTTTTGGACGTTCTTGTGCATGCCCTCGAATGTTCCGTGTTTGTTTTGGTCGGCGGAGGGCACCGTGCTCTTGAGGGATGTTCTTCCGGCCTAAGTCCGGCTGCATCCTGGAAACAAAACGGCTCGTGACCCCGAAAACGAGGCACGGGGAGTGGACGGCCGAGCGCTGGCAAGGGGAGAGTTGCAGAGAGAGAGAGAGAGACAAACAAGAACAAGAGAGAGAGAGGGAGGGATGTCGTGATGGGCCTGTTTTCCACCATTACCACCACCATAAGTTGGAGGGGGGAAGGAGGTGGAGGAGGAGGAGGAGGAGGAGGAGGACCTCCTCCCCCCTCCAACTTTGTGGTGGTGGTGGTGGTGGAAAACAGGCCCCTCATGGAGGGAGAGAGTGAGAGCGGCTGCTTTTCGAGGCGTGTCCTGGGCGCGAGGTCGAACGCTGGGGAGGGGGAGGTCGACGTGGAACGGAGAGCACCCCCACCGGGAAGTCGGCTTCGGTTTCGGGCTCGCGTCGCGCGTGCGGGCGAGGTGAAGCTGCGTGGGCGGGCGAGAGAGAGAGAGAGAGAGAAACAAAAAAGCGAGAGAGCGAGAGAGAGAGAGAGAGAGAAACACAATAAAGCGAGAGAGAGAGAGAGAGAGATAAGCAAAAAGAGAGAGAGAGAGAGAGAGAGAGAGGGATGGAGGGAGAGAGAGCGAGGAGGAGGTTTTTCGAGGCGTGTCCTGACGCCGGCACCCCGGGCGGGCCGTCGTCCCCCGCCCGGGCGTTGCGAGAAGCCATCGATGGACGCGCCCCTGGCGATGAGCTTTTGGACTTCTGGCCGACGCGCCTAGCCTCCGTATCGTTTAACCGACCCCCATCCCCATCCCATCCCCTCGAGACCCCCACCGAATTACCCCCCCAGTTTGGGATACACCCCTCGAAACCCGAAGTGAGCAGCCTATATCCCCATCTAGGGGAGTAAATCGGCCAGTGGGGCCCAGGCCACGCCGCTGGGGATACGGATCGGATAAACGATGCTCATGGCCCCCGTGGGCACCAGTTGGACGGGGCTACGACGAGGATAGATTCTTTCCAGAGCGGTCCAGACCACCGTCAGAGCGTTCCAGAATGGCCTGAGAGGGCCGCGGCGCCAGAGACATCCCCCCGAGCCGCGAGATCTCAGACGTTCTCGATTTCTCCCCACCCGAATGTGTCGTCTTCCCGGCCTCGTCCTAACCAGACCTGAAACGGGTCCAGTGCCAGGGCCGAAGAAGATGATGATGTTGATGCTAATGTTGTTGCTGTTGTTGTTGATGCTGATGCTGACGCTGTTGCTGATGATGATGATGACGATGACGATGCCGACGATGATGATGATGATGATGATGCTGATGATGATGATGATGATGATGATGATGATGATGATCATGATCATGATCATGATCATGATCATGATGATGATGATGATGATGATGATGATGATGATGATGATGATGATAATGCTCATCATCATCACCATCATCATCCTCGTCATCATCATCACCACCATCACCATCATCACCACCGCTACTTCCACCACCATCATCAGCAGCAGCATCACCATCAGCGTCAGCATCCTCATCATCATCATCATCATCATCATGATCTTCATCATATTCATCATATTCACCATCATCATCTTCATCTTCATCTTCATCATCACCACCATCATCATATCATCATCATCATCATCATCATCATCATCATCATCATCATCATCATCATCATCATCATCATCATCATCTTCATCATATTCATCATGTTCACCATCATCATCTTCATCTTCATCATCATCACCACCATATCATCATATCATCATCATCGTCATCATTGTCATCATCATCGTCGTCATCATCATCATCATCATCATCATCATCATCATCATCATCGTCATCATCGTCATCATCATCACTTTCGAGAGCGAGAGAGAGCGTGAGTTTCGCTTGCAGGGGAGGGCCGGCCGCTGGGCCCGCAGGAGCGGCAGGGAGGTTACGCTCGTGCTGCCCTGGCTGCCGGACCGGGCGCAACAGGCGATGCTCTACCCCGAGGGCCTCCTGTTCGACGCCCCGCACGATCAGGAGCCCCTCCTCCTCCCTCCCTCGCTCTCCTCCCTCCCTCCCCTCGCTCTCCTCCTCCTCCTCCTCCTCCTCCTCCGCCTCCTCCTCCTCCTCCTGCTCCCTCCCTCCCTCCCTCCCTCCCTCACTCACTCCCCTTCGCCCCATTTCTCCCCTCCTCCCTCCTCCTTCTCCTCCCCTCCTCCTCCGCCACCTCTTCCTACCTCCTTTCCTCCTCCGCCACCCTCCTCCCTCCTTCCCTCACTAAAACCCTGGCTCTCCTCCACATCCTCCCCTCCTCTCCTACCTTCCTCCTCCCTCATCCCCTCTTCCTCCTCCTCCTCCTCCTCCTCCTCGTGGCGTGGAGGCGAGAGAGGCGAGGCCTACACCTCCCTCCCACCCTCCCGCCCTGACGCAGCGAGGCGTGGCGAGGCGAGGCCTACACCTCCCTCCCACCCTCCCGCCCCTTCCCCCCCCCCCTCACCTCCCGTGATGCGGTAGGTGGCGAGGCGAGGCTGAACCCTCCCTCCCACCCTCCTCCCCCCCCCTCCTACTTTCACGAGGTACCCCCTCCATCAACCCCGCCGCCGTGCCGGCTCAAGGGCTTGGCCACCCACGCGCCGCGCCCCGCTCATCCCTTCCCCTCCTTCCGCCCCCTCGTTCCCCCCCCGTCCGCCTGCCCTCCCCTCCCCTGCCCCCCCGCCCACCCCCCTCCGCTGGGCCTCCTCCTCCTCCTCGTCCTCCTCCTCCTCCGTAGCCATTTTGGCTCAAGCCATTTTGGCTCAAGGCTCCAAGGGGGCCCCCCGCCCGGGCGCGCGCCTCGCTCCCCAGCGGCGGCCCTCCCCTTGTCCCCCCCCTCACGCGATAGAGCCGCCTGGGGGGAGCTGCGCTGCCCGCGGCGCGCGGCGGGGTACTGCCCGGCGGCTCAGCCGCCGCCCCCCAGGGCACGCGGCGGCCCCCGCGCTGCCCAGTGCCGCGCCGGAGGGCCCCCCCGCGGCGGCCCCGGCGCAGCTCAGGGCGTGGCGAGGCGAGGCCGGAGCCTCCCCCCCACCCCTCCCTCTCTCCTCGCCCGCCCTCCCCCCCCCGAGGCGAGGCGCAGAGGTGAGGCGTGGCGAGGCGAGGCCGGAGCCTCCCCCCCACCCCTCCCTCTCTCCTCGCCCGCCCTCCCCCCCCCGAGGCGAGGTGAGGCGTGGCGAGGCGAGGCCGGAGCCTCCCCCCCACCCTCCCCCTCTCCTCGCCCCCCCCCCCCCTCTCTCCCCCCCCCTCCCGTGCCCCCCCCCCAGGGCACGCGGCGGCCCCCCGCGCTGCCCGGTGCCGCGCCGGAGGGCCCTCCCGCGGCGGCCCCGGCGCAGCTCAGGGCGTGGCGAGGCGAGGCCGGAGCCTCCCCCCCACCCCTCCCTCTCTCCTCGCCCGCCCTCCCCCCCCCGAGGCGAGGTGAGGCGTGGCGAGGCGAGGCCGGAGCCTCCCTCCCACCCTCCCTCTCTCCTCGCCCCCCCCTCCCTCTCCCTCCCCTCCCGTGCCCCCCCCCCCAGATCAGGCGCCCCGCCCTGGTGGGCCGGCCGCCGCCGCCGCCCCGGGGCGCCTCGGCGCCGCCGACGGCCTATGTCCTTCCGCCTGCCAGCAAACGGCCGGCGGGCGGACCCGAGGGCACAGCCGCGGGTGCCGGAACCCGTGCTCCTGCCCCTCGTCCTCTGCCTCGCCGAGCGCGGCGGCGGACCAGACGGCCCCCTGTCGGCGGCGGAGCTCGCGGCGGTGCGCCAGGAGGTGGCGCGCCTCCCCGCGGACGTCTTGGAGTTTGAGAAGCTGGACTCAGACTATGAGTGGCGGGCGTGTAGGCGAGAGCATCATGTGTACGAGGTCTGGAGGAACTACCACTTCAGCCTCGGAGACACTGATGCCCAGACGACCCGGGTTGCTGCCCTCCGAGGGCGCCTCGGCAAGCACTGGCGGCCCAAGGCTGCCTTGTGCATGGCCCTGGCCGCAGTGAATGGCAAGGGGTTCCTCGCGGCCGTCGAGCAACGCGTGCCCGAGGGCCAGCAATGGGCGGGCACCCTCGGCGACCTCCGAGCCTTGCTGCTAGCAGCAGTCGAGGAGACACCTAGGGACGAGCTTTTCACAACGGCCTTCAACAAGAGGCTCCAGCGGGCGGGCACAAGTGGCGATGCCCGGGCAAAGATTTGCCGCGCGGTGGTGACAGCGGAGAAAGCCAGCAGCGAGTGGCCGGCGAGGAGGCTCTGGCTCTTCACAGCGAACCGCATGGGCGTCCTCACAGCGAAAAATGCGCACCTGTACTGGAGGTCCCGTCGGGCCCGACCGGGCGACCACTCGGTGGGCACCCTCCTGGGGCCGGGCGCGGAGAAAGGCATCAACATAAGCCTTGGGCGCGCCAGCACCTGCAGCTCGGACAGCACCAAGGTAGGAGCCATCGAAGACCTATGGAGCCAGGGCCGCGGCCGCTGCCTCCAGCTACGGCGCCTCCTCCGGAGAGCAGCCTTCGCGCGGCTACCTCCCGTGACACGAGCCGTGGTCCGCAGCACGGCGCGCCATATGGCGGCGGCACCGGACGTGCTACTCCAGCACTGGTGGTGCGAGATCGGAAAGGTATTTCGCACGTTCTTCCTCGGGCGCGGTAAGGACCGCAGCCGATGGAGGAGGAACCTCGCAGCAGCAACCTACCTCCGCGCGGCGGATGGCGGCCGCACTGGGGCCGCAGCCGACCCCGCCGAACCGGAGGAGCCAGCCGACGACGAGGAGGAAGTCTGGCCTGACCTTGACGGCGGCAGCGAGCTGGCCGAGCTCGCAGGGGTTGAGGACGAGGAAGACATCGAGGACGAGCTCACGGTTCCGCGCGCACCAGCCAGGCGCGCCTCGGCCCGGAAGAGGCCAGCGGCGGCGCAGATAGGGGCAGCCGCAGTCGGGGCAGCCGCAGCGAGTGGCAGCCGCAGCGCTGCCCGGCGGCCCGCGACACCCCGCGCCGGGAAGGAGCCCCGTCGGCGGCCGCGGCAGGCCGCGGCCGGCCCCGGGCCCCCGCCGCCCCGGGCAGCAGCCGCCGCGGCCGCCCCCGGCCGGCGGCCGGCGGCGCTCGGCGCGCGGCGGCGCGCCGTGCAAGAGCGAGGGGAAAAAGGGGAGGCACGCCGGCCAGCCTTGGGGAGCACCCCCCCCCTCCTTTGGACCCCCTTCCCCTTAGAACCTAAGAGGTAACTTTTGGCAAAAGTTTGCCCTTAGGTTCAAAAGGGGCCCCCCGGCCGCCGCCGGGGCGGCGCCCGGGGCCGGCCCGGGCCTCCCGGGGGGGGCGGGGGGGCGGGGGTTCGCGGTCGGGCCCGCTACCCGGAGGACCCAGGAGGCCCGCGCTGCCGGGGGCCGCGTGGCCCGGCGGGGGATGCATGCTGCAGGCCGCCCCTCCCTTGCCTTTCCTCGTCGCCTCCCCGCCCCTGCTCCCCCCCCTTTCCCCCCCCTGCCTCCCTCGCCTGCTCTCCCTGCTCCTCTTCGCCTCCCTGCCTCTCCCCTCCTCCCTCTGGGGGTGATCCTCTCGCCCCCCCCGCCGAAGGGCAAGAGCCCCCGCGAAGGGCAAACCGAGCTCCGACCAGGGCTGGCTGCTTTCCCGGCCGGCTGCCCTCCCGGCCGGCGGTGGGACGCTGGGGCGGACCCCTCCCCCTCCCCTGCTGCCCTCTCCTGCGTTCGGTTCCTCCCCTTGCCCCCCCTCGTCTGGGCCCCCCCTCCCGAGCCGGAGTGGCCGGGCGCGAGGCCGGTCGGTGGGCCGCCGTCCGCCGGCCGGGAGGGCCTCCGGGCCGGCGCCCGCGGCGGGGCGGCGCGAGGGGGACGCGCGGGGATCCCTCCCTCCCTCCCCCTCCTCTGCCCTCCTTCCGTCCTCGTCCCCGCTCTCTTCCCCCCCCTGCCTCCCTCGCCTGCTCTCCCTGCTCCTCTTTCGCCTCCCTGCCTCTCCCCTCCTCCCTCTGGGGTGATTTCCTCTCGCCCCCCCCGCCGAAGGGCAAGAGCCCCCTCGCGAAGGGCAAACCGAGCTCCGACAGGGCGCTGCTTTCCCGGCCGGCGCCCTCCCGGCCGCGGTGGGACGCTGGGGCGGACCCCCCCCCTCCCCTGCTGCCCTCTCCTGCGTTCTTCCCCCACTTGCCCCCCTCGTCTGGGCCCCCCCTCCCGAGCCGGAGGGGCCGGGCGCGAGGCCGGTCAGTGGGCCGCCGTCCGCCGGCCGGGAGGGCCTCCGGGCCGGCGCCCGCGGCGGGCGGCGCGAGGGGGACGCGCGGGGATCCCTCCCTCCCTCCCCCTCCTCTGCCCTCCTTCCGTCCTCGTCCCCCCTCTCTTCCCCCTCCCCCCCCTCCCTCCTTCCCTGCCCGGGGGGGCGAGAATCCCCGCCGCTGCGGCGGCTCATGGCTCGAACGCGTCGGCCAGTGGAGCTGCTGGCCGTGACCCGGCGGGTTCGGGGTACGAAGACCTCGCCTGCGCCATCGCCCGGCCCCCCCCTGAGGCGAGGCGAGGCGTGGAGAGGCGAGGCTTGAGCTTCCCCCCCTCCCTCCCTCCCCCCTCGTTCCCCCCGCCCCCCCCCTTCCCCCCCCGAAGTCGTGGTGAGGCGCGGCGAGGCGAGGTCGGAGCTCTGCCCGCTCCCCCCCTCCCCCTGCGCTGGCTCGTCAATGAAGGCCCGGGACAGAGGCAAGGTAGGGCGTGGCGCGCGGACCAGGCCTCCCTCCCTCGCCCCCTTGCCCGATTGACGGCCCCCCCCGCGGGCGCCGCCGGCTCCGGCTCAAGACCGGCCCTGACTTGGAGGTTCGCCCCCCCTCTGCCCCGTCCCGCAGTCACCGAGCAAGGCCCCGCGGAGATGGACCGTGGCGCTAGCCCGACGCCGCGCGCGAGCTCCTCCGGCCGCAGGCGGGGCCGCCGCGTGAGGCGCCGCCGCGACCGGAGCCGCCGCGGGGGGTCCCGTGACCGGAGCCGCTCACGCGACCGGAGCCGCCGCTGGGCGTCGGGCGACTGCAGCCGCGGGCGCAGCCGCCGCGACGCAACGCAGACCCAGC